TGCCACCGACTCTACCAAGCCGGCCCCTTGTGACGGGCCCGCTGCACGGACTCGCGCCAAAACGCGCCAGTTGTTATGATTAGCTTTCCGCGCGTGTTCCGTTGCTGCGGAACCCGCTCATTGTATATATGTTTTTTTAATGATTGCATGTGCTGTTATACCGTTCTGTATATGTGTTGCGGTTCCGGGTGGGGGTTTTTTTTTTTTTTTTTTATATAGGGAACCATCGGTTGATGTTACGCTTGTTCTTGTTATTGTTACTGTTACGAGGCACACGTGTATTGACGGTGTTAATCTTTATTCGTGGGGGTTGAGGGATTGTTGCAGCCGGGACGGCTGCGAGCTGTACAGGGGGGGGGTGATGTAGGGGTTATTACGGGAGAAACGGCGGACAACAAACACAGGGCTGTCGGCACTCACATACACAGGGGGTCACACCGACGTCCGCATCAGTTATTGCCCACGCCCCCAGCCCTCGGAGGCGATCCCTATAAAAGGTGGAACCCAAAGAGCTCGGGGGGGGTTCGACACGAAGCTGACCAGTGAAGATCCAAGACTCGGAGATTAGGCCCTGGGACTCCCCGGTCTCGCCGTCCTTATAAGGGCCGAGCCGGGTAAGCCAGTGGCGCGGCCCAAGAGCTTCCAGACCGCTGCCCTTATCAGGGCAAGGCTGGTTAGCTGGTGCCGAGATCTGTGCTTGCCAGGGCCAGATCAGTCAGCCTCCCGTAGCCCAGTAGAGGAGGACTGGGGGACAGGACAGAGGGCTTAGTACTAGGGTGGGTTTCCCATAGTACGGGTGAAGGGGCCGATACCCCTTCAACTATTGTATCTGTCCCGGAGTTAATAAACAGTGTGTCTCAACTTCGACATCGTCTCCACCTCTACTTACTACAAAAGGAAGCATTGTATTGGATACAATAAAACGTTGGTTGTGTGGCTTTGGAGCACTGAGTGGGTGGGACACAGTAGCTTTCTCGAGGCCCACCTGTTACGTGTTATATATTTTTCCTGTGACCTTAAATACAAACAATACTTTCATCTGTCTGGGCGTAAATGATCATCGTTCATTCGAATCCAGATATGTTCAGTTGAGCTAAATGGTCAAAAAAGCCCCCCCCCTACACACTCCCTGTTTTTAAGGGCTAGAAACCAATCGGACGAGGGTCTTCAAGTGAAGCAACTGAATACCGAAGGACTCTCAAGACCTAAATGTCACTTCCTAGTGGGTCCAAATCATGGAACAGTGAAACAGAGCCCTCTCGTGTAGTGCTGTGCATTGAAGTTATCAATTGTACTGAGTTGATAGCAAAGTGACCAACGTACAAACATCACACCAGATTATCTTTTCCGCTGACATTGCCCCTGGCTCAGGTCTGAGATACAAAACATATAAATACACGATATCAGATGATTGTCATGCAGCAAACCACTTATATATATAAGCATGGATAAGTGTTATTAAGAAAGGCCGATTATTTTGCGTTGTTATGCGATGCCTGTTGAGGTGACTCCGGAAGTGGATATCCCGTGCAATTTTCTGAATGCTCTGCTGATGGAAGGAATTCCGGGATATTTATTCAGCCCAAAACATTATTACACTAATGTAAATAACATGCCCCGGTACATGGTATTCAAATAATGGCAATACAGTGTATATTTGTACGTAAAATATGGCTCAGGAATTCTTATCCTTTCTTGAAAAATAAAATACCCATTATTTTTGTTGGTATTTTGCGACAGGTGATCAACTTTTTTGAATTGTATTTTACCTGTCACATGCTCTATGGGGAGCAGTAGTGTAGCGATTGATCCCCTGTGCTATAAACCGAGTTTAATTCCCACTCACGCCAATACCAGTAACTATTATAATTATCTGAACCGTTCCTGGACCTCCCCTAGGTCGACTCAGCCTCAAATGAGTAACTGGTGCGATTTGTAAACATCGCCACTTGGGAGACAAAGGCGACCGGGTGTGGTGCTGCCACCCACCCCGTCGTGTGCCATGCAAACCCTCATAGGTGCTCGTTAACAGCACTTCCTCCTACAGTCTGTTAAGGCTATATGTGGGCATCTTTGCATTTGTACTGGTTATCTGTCATAACTCTTCCAAGATGACTGATCATCTGTCATATACGAATAGGCCAAACATTTCTTCTAGAATGGCTCTCTAGGGCTCCTTCTTGTTGGAGGCCCTTCCGCCAGCAGTGGTGTGAGCAAGAAATTGCAGGGCTTGCACCTTTGCCACCTTTTTCTACTTTTAAAAGATCATCAATCATGCCGGTAGCATATTTAAAATTAAATAGATATGACCCATTTTGTTGTTGTTGGCAAGCAGGAGAACCCCATGAAGGCCTTAATGGCCCCTTGCTTACGTTTAGTTACCATGAATGATGATGAAGGCAGCTGGCAAAGCATAATTCAGAGTTGCTTATTGGGCATCGTTCCCTCCAGGGCTTTGTTCGTGCACGGTCATGTCAATTTTATTTTGAGCCGATTGACTCTCAGCACAATATCCCAATCGTGTTGTATTGTGCAATTACCACCTCAAGTAATGTTTCTGCAAGGTTAAACAGTACATTTAATTCGGCATCTAGTCTCATATTGCTCTAGAGGGGAATTTCCGTAGTCTTTGTGAAGCCGCCGAACCCCTACCATCCCCACCCACGACAACCACTCTTTTATTTCTATACTTGCGCATGCCAATATGTCCCGGAGCTAAATGCCAATGTAGAGGTCTGCTAGCCACGAGAGGTCTTCAAGAGAGCGTTCGTGTAGTTTTGCTCTTCCTCCTCCATTAAAGGAGGATGGACTACAGTAGTTCACCATACGGTCCATAGTTTGGCTTGCATGGCCTCAGTAGCGCTGTGGCTTGTCTTTAATGTTCCATCTGTGAAGGAGCTGCGTGCGCCTTGGCCTGTTGATGTTTTGATGCAGTTGATAGTTCCACCAGCATCTCTAATGAGGCATTTATTCTGGACGTCTACTTTGTTCCACTTGGCTTGCCAACGTTCTTCCGGATCTGGGTGAGATTCTAGGATTGTGACAGCACGAACCCAGAAGGGGTATCGGGGCTTGAGTCGGCAGCGAAGTACATTGTTGAGGTCTTGGTTGATGGGTAGGTAATCGTTGGCAAGAAAACGAATATTTGATTTGCCTGAACAGGTAGCCAGGGAATTGATGTCGGTTTTAGTGTTATGGTTATGATGCGCATTGCGCCATTTAATTGTGCATCTAGAAATGTTGTGTATGAGCTCCTGGACAGGCTGGAGCACAGTACTCTGGCACCAAGTTAATCAGTGAGATTGCGGCAGTTTGCAGCACATCAGCTGAAGCGTCCCAGGTCCTTCCTGCAAGTTTCTGCGGCAGGTTCATTCTTGATTTGGTATTTTCACAGATCTCTTTTTTGCAGGCTTCTGTCCATAATAACCCACGACCACTGTTTCGGGTGGACACTCCCCACTCCTTTGAAAACCACCACCACTATCCCAAACATTTCAAGTCTCAAAGATTACCTTTGAGACTCACAGTGTCGAGGGTCTCGCGACCATAAAATGGATTCTCACGTTGTTGTTGTTGTTAATATGTTTTTAATAATACTCTCAGTCCTGTTAATTTCAATGCACTGGCAGATATTTCCGATGGCGCACGTCTTATGTAAGAGTTAGCTCCTTTTTAGCTCCAAAAGTGTTGGCTTTAATCACAGCCTTTATATGAGAAAGAAGCTAGAAACTAATCACAACTATTCAAGGTTATTTTTATTTCATTTACTAAGTAATGTATAATAGCTTGCTGATACGCAAATGCATTTCGTCTCAAAAAGCAGACACGCCCTTGTCTGCTGCATGACAATTAAATATATCAGTCTATGGGCACCAACCCCCCACCACTGCCCACTCATCCCATCTTTGATTCAAATCAACTCGGCTTTAGCCCAGAGTTGTCAAATCTCATGGGGAAAGGAAAACAAATCAAGCCCAAACTAGTGTCAGGAGGAAGGTGCAGGGCCTAAAGAGGAAAGGGCGGGGATTCAAGAGGAAGGGGCGGAGATAACAAATGAAGGGGCAGGGGTACAAGAAGAAAGGGGCACGGCTGAAAGAGGAGGTAGCCAGGGAAACAACCGCAATATGCACATTGTTAAGGAGTTCTTCAAACATGATCTTCCCTTTTTTAAAAAATATACTTTTATACGCTCAACCCAAGCTATAAATGCTCTGATACTTGGATTGTCTTTGTACTGTTCACCTATTGGTATTTTCTAGTCTGACACTGGTGAGACAAGGCCATAAAGAAGGCTGTCTCTGGTGTTGGCCAAGCAGTTTAAAATACAATGCATATGTAATTATCAGAGCATGTTTGCTTGCATTTTTTGCCACAAGTACGGGTGGTTAATGCAGACTTGTTTGAAAAATCTTAACACCTGTTTTATTGCCAGAAAGGGTAAAACTTTTTCTTATTTTTCATTCTTTTATCGTGGCAAAAAGGTCCAATAGATAGGCAACGTATGCAGTGTGAAATGCCTCACACGTTAAAATGTAGTGCAGTGCAGATTCACATTAATGAGCGGAGTGGCGGGGAATGTGAAATGAACAGGGTGACCCCGTGATTTTCGACCACTGCTAACATCAGTGGAATGTATATCTGAACCGGTCCTGGGCTGCCGATCTCCAGCCTGTACTGACCAACTTAGTGAAGATGGTCATAGTAATGTGGGATAACCACTATGCCCACCGCTCTCCCCTCCCCACCAAAATATACAAATACTATAGGTTACATTTTTTATTGTGGTATGTGGCAGAACTGCAGTATCTTAAAGGTATAATCTATTCCATATTCAAAATTGATCCAAATATAGTTTTATAAAATCAATTCAGTTGCCCACGAACTTGGACATTGTGTGTTGAACTTCTTTCGCATCGTACGTAGCCAACCGTGCCAATTTATGTGTTTGTCCTTTTGAGAATTAGCAGCATAACCAGGGCACTGTCGTCTGAATCCCACAGGTGGCCGACAACATAAGAAGCTTCAGAAGGAAAAGGAGCGCCGTGTCGATTGGAAGATCTCTCCACTGGCACGACCTTTTCACAGTCAAGAACAAACACCGCGTTAAGAGGCAGTGGAATATCCCCCCCATCAGCATTCCTGAAAACGATGCGAACCATTTTATAAAGTATCCGGTCTCGGTGAGTGTTTCAACCCGGCAGCAGAGTATATTCAGCACACCAAAAACCTCTCTCACCTTGACAACAATGAGAAATATCCATGGTATACCTACTATAATTACCCAGGATTGTCTATCATTAACGCCTGTGACGTCAGTCCACATCGACCAGCCCCCCTCATTAATATTCATGAGCAGGTGAAGTCCTCCAAATGGACACCCCCCCCCACCCCTCATTCATAATCATGAGTGGGTGACGTCACTCAATATGGAGTACCCCCCCCCTCACTAATACACATGAACAAGTGACGTCACTCCACATCGAACAGCCCCCCTCATTAACAATCATGAGCAGTTGACATCCTCCACATGGACCCCCACCCCTCATTAATAATCATGAGCAGGTGACATCCTCCAAATGGACACCCCCCATTAGTATTACCTACTATAATGAGCCAACAATGTCTGTGTGCAACGCTCGTGACGTCACTCCACGTCGACCAGGCCCCCTCATGAATACTCATGAACAGGTTATGTCCTCCACATGGACCCCCCCCCCTCATTAATAATCATGAGCATGTGACGTCACTCCACATGGATCACCCTCCCCCTTCATTAATAATCATGAGCAGGTGACGTCACTTCACATCGAACAGCCCCCCTCAATAAAATCATTATAAGGTAACGTCCTTCAAATGGACACCCCCCTCCATTAATAATAATTAGCTGGTGACGTCACTCCACATGGGGGGCCAAGGCGCCTCCTCCCCCCTCCTCGGCGTCAACTTACAACCCTCACTACAAAGGCAGAACCCTCACGTCACGCGATCTCCATAACACTGTTGACACATCAAAGTAAAAAGGACGTAATGATGAACAAGGGATTATAACCTTTAAATGAAATAGGTCTGTGTCACCGCACCCTTACAAATTGCACACGCATTGATGCAATGAATATTAGGTCACGGTCTGATTTTCGCTTGCAAGTTTCAGATTTACTACAATACACCCGTCCTTGGATGGGCAAAAGTCTAGTTTATGAATATAAAGAGGTAGTGTGTGTGTCTATAAAGCAGGATGTATAACATGCAGGTTTTCTCAAACTATTTTGTGATTCATTATTGATGTTTTGGTTTCGCCAAATAATGATGTGGTGAACTTCCACCACCCGATATAGCCAAACAAATTGAATTGCCATGTCTACAAGTGTTTAACATGCCAATTATGATTGTTTCAGCTCGTCAATAAGTTGAAGATCAAATTTCACAAATAATTTACCAATGACATACAGTGTTAGGTTTCACTTAAAACTGTACCAAGTATTGCTTCTTAAAATAGGTCTCTTGACATCACGGGAACAACAAATCAGATTAAAACGAGATGTTGACCATTACAAATGTAGATAATATAATTAAAGGTTCCATCCCAACCGATCCCCCTCGGTGCATTGGCTAAGTCTCTATCCACATATCCACTGTTCAGATCACATCTGACCAGAATCAGTACATCGACGTGCGGTACAAGCTAACGGGCATTGGTGCTGACAAGGACCCTGTTGGACTCTTCACCGTGGACCCAGCAACAGGATTCCTGGGACTGACTCGAGCTGTGGACCGCGAGGAGTACAGTGTCTTCACTGTGAGTCGCCTTCCCCGAGGGAAGTTCACGGAAACACTAACCATGATCCATAATAAGAGGTTTTTGGGTTTTATAACGTAAATATAAATGTGTCGTTAAACCCGCCACCACCCGACACGTTAAAAAATGTGACATTTCGTTACGAGTTCAGCAAACCAGTGTTTTATGTACCAATCGAGTACGATGTTTCGCCTTGTAATTACAACTACCATTATCAGGCTACAGTTAAATGTAGCTGTCGCCTGATGATCGATTCCCATTCGCGGCCCAACACCTGTGACGATTATCTCAATCAGTTCAAACATCGCGACTCGGCCTCAAATGAGTACCTGGCGCAGTGTGTAAACATCGCTACTAGGGAGACAAAGGTGGCCGGGCGAGGTGCTGGCCATCCACCCCCTCGTGTGCCGTGCCGGACTTCATAGGTGCTCACGAACAACACTTCCTCCGACAGTCTGTTAAGGCTACACGGGGGATTTCTGTCTTTGTGTGTGTGTACAGCTGCAAGGTCACGCATTCTCTCTGCAAGGCAGGCGGGTGGAGGAGCCCTGCAACTTGACAATCGCTGTCATCGATCAGAACGACAACTTCCCAATATTCACCGTCACCTCCTTGGCTGGCTTTGTCCTTGAGCACTCTCAAGTCGGTAAGCCAAGCAGGTTGCGTGTCCATTACCACGAGTGGAGGCGGCAGCGAGCTGTTGAAAACCAGAAGCCAATAGGCCCAAGGGAATCGGCCTGCCATGCAGAGCAATAAAAGTAAAGGTATCGCCCTGCAATCAATAGCGGTGGCAAGAGGGTGCCGTGGTGGCGAGACGTTAACGACCTCGCCTGGTATACAAGGAGCTCGTGGGTTTGTGGGTTCATACTCTTAGTTCTTTCGGTAAAGTCACGTAGGTAAAAATTCTATTAAAATTTATAAAAATAAAACAATAAAAATCACGACGTTTCGGAGGCAACACAAGCTTCCGTCTTCAGGTGAAACCGTCACAGCAAAATATCTGTACCTTATATAGTGGTTGAGGGGGGATGAGCCAGGAAGGGCAGCGGGGGAGGAGGAGTTGTGAAGTGGTCAATTACTGCTTTTGTTATACTGCTGGGTGGGTAAATGAATTTGATGAGATTAAGCCGCTCTTGGTTTTGCTGTTTGTGCGCAAGTCACTGTGGGATGAATGGACTCGTGGTCAGGGACGTGTTGCGCAAGTAACTGTGGATGTACGTAATAGAAAAGGAGCGGAAATGCCCATGTTTATACCAGTGTCGGCTGACAATAAGGAGTACTGTTAAACGTTAGGGATGTTAACACTCGGTGAAGTAAAATAGTGCCTGTCAGATAAGATGGTCCAAAAATGTGTAATTAAATCTTTTTTGCATGGTTGATAACATCTTTCCAATGATTAACAAACTTAGTAATCATTGGAAAGATGTTATCAACCATGCAAAAAAGATTTAATTACACATTTTTGGACCATCTTATCTGACAGGCACTATTTTACTTCACCGAGTGTTAACATCCCTAGCGTTTAACAGTACTCTTTATTGTCAGTATAGCCTGTATAGTACTTGTATGAGCAACCACAATGCACAAAACAAGTGCTGTGGGCTGCTGCGGGGCTATGTTAACTTTATAAGAATAATACTGGTAGGAACGAAGTGGACCAGACACCAATAGATTATATCGTCCGTCCGTTTGTCCGTCTGTCCGTCTGTCCGTCCGTCCATGTAGCAACAACGCCCCCTACTGCAAACACTTGGCATGACCCTACAAAAACCTTTAGACTCAGTGACGCTATCCTGGCTAAACAAGTGTAACATTCCCTTAGAATTGCCTCAGATAGCTTTTAATTAAAACATTTAAATTAATGAGGCTTTCCTGGCTAAACACGTGTAACATTCCCTTATAATTCCCTGAGATAGCTTTTAATTAAAACTTTGAAATTAAATAAAAAAAACTCAGTGCCCTAAAGCCTACAGCTAGGCCTAAAGCCTAGAACTAGGCCTGAAACTCTCCCTTTGTATCGTACCCCCGCATGTGTGAAAGGGAGTTAATGTTTAACAATGTTACATTCCCTCATGTTTTTAAATAGAAACATTTAAATTTAAAGCTTTTACATTAATAATTAAAACATTTAAATTAAAAATTAACTCACGGCGGCGTAAAGCCTACAGCTAGGCCTAAAGCCTAGAACTAGGCCTCAATCTCTCCCTTCGTATCGTCCGATTAGGTGTAGCAACATCGCCCCCTACTGCAAACACTTGGCAGGACCCTACAAAAACCTTTTGACTCAGTGGGGCTTTCCTGGCTAAACAAGTGTAATAATACATTATGTTTATATTCTTTGGTTATTCGTTCCTACCAGCCCACCCCGCAGGGTCCTGTTCAAGCGAAAGTGACACGTTTTATTAAATAAATTTCAATGTCCCTTGTCTAGGTACCACGGTCATGAATATCATAGCAATGGATGCCGATGACCCCAAGACAATGAATGGGCAGGTGCAGTACGAGCTCATCTCTGGGTCAAATATTTTCTCCCTGGACAAGTTCACGGGCACAGTCATGGTGGCGAGCGCAGTGCTGGATCGAGAGGTCAGTGCAAGAGCAGCGCCCTCCTGATGGACTTGCAGTCCAGCGAGATACCGACTACAGGCATTCCTCGATTTACGAACTGACGATTTGCGAATTTTTTGCTTGAAGGAATTTTCTGGGTCGGCGTACTGCACACCATTCACCACGCAGCGTGCCCGCATCACCGGTTCTCTTCATTCCAGTTTGTTTAACGGTTGCTAGCGTGCGCTCCCTGTGTCCCTGTTTACGGTGTTATTTTTGCCATTTACTTCAACATGCGTAGCAAGTGTAAATCAACATCACCGGCTATTAATCCAGCGGAATAAATCGAAGCGTGCTATGAGCGGGGTGACGAAGATGGACATCGTTAAAGGGCAACGAGAAAGGAGAAGGCTTGGTAGGGATCGCACGTTCCCTCAGCCGAGTTGCATTAAAGCTTGAGAACTATTCTCAACAACGTGCCCAAATTAAAAGTTGGAATATAACTGCAAAGTGAATTGCAAGTATATACAGATTTTTTGCTATTTCACACTTAAAATCAACATCAACCACAGCAATGTGACACATCACCTGCATTAGCAACACAAATTACACTGTAACATATCAACATTAACACTAACAACGATAAAGGTGTAGTCCTGCAATTGCTTGATGATGCCACTGCTGCCAGAAGTGCATCCACAAGAGGCTGCCACTGGTGGAGCTATGGACAGCTCCTCTAAGAGGGTACTAGGCCTACTCTTCCACACTGGTCAGATGTCTCGTAAGATGTTTTTTCGTTTAAGTGCTTTTGGTCGTGCACACAAATTCGTACGGTATAGTGCAAAAAAATATTTTGCCTGTAATCGAGGTTATCCATCTTTGGGATTACATCACATGCTAAAATAATATTAAGTATCTCTGCAACAGTGCAGCTAAGATAATTTACCATCTTACTTCTGCCCTTCATTGTAAGTTGTTTTTACACACGACCACCTACTATGTATATTTCATTTTCTGTCATCTTATTGTACAGTGCTTTGAGATGTTTTTTGTTCCCGTTTATAAAGTTGTTATCCACAGTAGTCATATAAACCTGCGAAAAATTTTTCAGAAAAACATTTAACGGGAAGTAATTATCTTACGTACATTATTTATTTGAAAGTATCTTATTATTGTTATATGTTTTTTAAAATGACTATTTAAGTTTTTGTTGCTGCTGTGATCACGTGACCTTGCATAAATAGCCAGGCATCTGGCTAAGTGGGAACCATCCGTGTAACAAATCCAAAGGGAACTCAAACTCACGATTTAGTCCATGCAGAGTTTTTTTTTTAGACAATTTCATCGCGTTCATGTTTCACGAATTCATAGATTTTTTGTTTCTGCGCGCCGGTCCAAGCGTCCGTTTGCTTGCACGTGTGCGACTATTTTTGCTGTGCTGAGGTGACGGAGGAGTACACCATCACAGTGAAGGCGTCGGACAGCCAAGGGCTGCCGTTTGCCCTCACCACCTTGGCAAAGAGCGTCATCACCATCGTCGACATCAACGACAATGCACCCATCTTTGTCGTCAGAGAGGCAAGCAGCGGTTGCGCGGCGCAAAGGTCGACCGGGGGTTTGGACTTTCTAGGGCGCTCAGCAACTCCATATCACGCTACGCCACGTCACGGCTATTCCGGTGTACAAGCATGTACGTGCGTTGCTGGGGCTACGAACCCCGGCTACCCGAGTTCGATTCCCGCTCATGGTCATATCTGAACTTGTCCTGGGCCTCCTCTAGGTCGACTTGGCCTCGAATGAGTACCTGGTGCGGTGTGTAAATATCACTACTTTGGAGACAAAGGCGGCCGTGCGTGGTGCTGGCCATGCCACCCCCTTGTGTGCCGTGCTGGCCTTCATAGCTGCTCGCTAATAAACTTGCCCCAACAGTCTGTTAAGGCTATATGGGGATCTTTGTCTTTGTTTGAACTTCTTTCGCACAGCACGTAGCCTCCCATGCTAATCGGAGGTGGAGAGGTGGACAAAAAACTAGCCTGGGGGGACCCCCCTAATGGCTGTAACTCATTGTTCGTTTTGTTTATATCTTACCTGGTGATGTTGTTATAAGTTCGTATCCCAGGCGTGGGTCAAATCATAACATTCCTTCTGAGATTGATAAATGAGCAACTGCACCACTGTGGGAAGTCAGCAGCAGTCTTGAGATAGTTACTGGAGCCTACCACAGGAATGTCTAATTTCCATCAACATCCTGAGGGCCACCAAATAACATCTCAGTCATTGGATATGTGATCCCGAACAAAAAACCATACACGGATCTCGCTCGTGTTCTACGATTTGCATGAATTGTATTCACAGATTAAAATTAAACGTTCTTGTCTTTTTTTGTTTTAGCTGTATGCAACTGTTGTGGAAAACACCATCAAAATGGATGTGGTTAGAATTTCTGTCACAGACCGAGACAAAGTCAACACGAAACATTGGTGGGCTGTGTACTCGATCGCTAGCGGAGACATGCAACAACATTTTCAAATCATCACGGACCGCAAAACTAACGAGGGAGTCGTGTCTTTGAATAAGGTCGGTATCCTTTGCACTCATGGTCACAGATCGATTCACGTGAATAAGGAAAAAGGGGATAATTGCTTTAATGTTGGGTCGTTGTTTATGTTGTTTGCTTAAGACGTGTGAGTCATTCGACCAGGTTCATAACACAGGACTTCTGAGAACCAAGAGTAAAGCCTTGACTTGTCTTTTCAAGATGAAAATTCTCACGTACAGAAGAACGTGGATGCCTTTGCTGCACAATTTTTCTACCTCTGATTCTCAGAAAATTGGCAATGGCACTCACTTTCAGTTTCTGTTTATCCAGCCAGGCAGCAGGGTTGCGCAATGGTAACACTCGTGCCTCAGAGCAAAAATAACCTGGGTTTTATTCCAAACTCGGGCGCCTTTCTGTGCAGAGTTTGTTTTGCATAACATTTATGGCAATGGTACTTCTTCAAAGCAGACAGATTGATCTGGAGTTTTTGTTATTTGTGCTTATGCAATGCAGAATCAGAAAAACATTCTTTAACATTGATAAAGAAGGACATCTTCTGGCGTTTTGTTGTGAGGCAAACAATATTTGCATGCTCTTTGGTTCTTGCGGTAAAGTCACGTAGGTGAAAAAAAACAAGAATAAAAATAAAAATAATCAAAAATGTTTTTTCACCTACGTGACTTTACCGAAAGAACCAAAGAATATGGATCCTTGCAGTCACGAAAACTTCAAATCTTGAATATTTGCATGAACTAGACTTTATTATTATATTCACAGATAGCAAAATTACCTGAAACAATTTCACAACTTTAATTATAAATGGGTCACACTGTTGCGGCTACTGGATAACAACAATAATAATGATTCATAATCAACGTTTTTGGGTTTAGATCGCGTTTATTTATAAATGTGTCGTAACCGTCCACCACCCGACACGGCCAATCAGTAAAAATGTGTCACGTTGACAAAGACAAATAGTTCACTGCTTTAGCCCACCGGTGTGTTGAAGCCACAACATTTACAATTTGAGTTGTACGACGTTTCGCTGGTAATTGCAACCAGCATCATCGGGCAATTCGCCAGAATGGTGAGGCTCTGCTGTCTCCCGTTTTTATATAGAGCAGCAGCAGGGTGACGTCATCATTAACTCATCAACTCATCAGGTGCAAAGCTTCAAGGGGGGAGTGATTGTAATTATATACTAGATTAGTAATCAGGCTATTGTTACGATGCGAGTTGTAGATTAGTAATCATTTGGAATGTTTTTTTTTCCTCTCTTATCAAGACGCTCATACATCGGGCTAAAACAGTGTCAGATGGTGAAAGTCTAGTGAGAGAGATTAAACATGTTAAAGAAGCACTAAGACAGAATGGCTACAATAATGCTCAAATTAACAGAGCACTAAAAGCCAAATCACGATCGCAAAGCAACACTGCTGAAAGCGATCAGATTATTAAAACAATAAAAATACCATTTATCTCAGGAGTAACTGATAAATTAGCCCGTGTTTTGCAAAAGCAAAACATTACAGTAAGATTTGGTACAGTACACAAAATTCAACAACTAGTAACGTGCACTAAAGACGAATTACCTAAATTATCAACAGAAGGTGTATATCGGATTAATTGTGTATGTGGCAGATGCTATATTGGACAGACAGGGCGTAACGTTAGTGTAAGACTAAAAGAACACCAGAGAAATATTAAACTATCACAAACACAACTGTCGGCAGTAGCAGAACATGCATACCAACAGGGACACTCAATTGATTTTGACAACGTGGAAGTGTTGTGTAAAACTAGTTACTACTGGCAAAGACTAATTAGAGAATGATTGAAATTGAGAGAAACAGAAATAACTTTAATCGCTCAGACAGCTACAGGCTTAGTGCGGCCTGGAAGCGTATTATTAAATAAGATACATTACAATTACTTATAAGGGAAACAACCACTAACTGATTACTAATGTAGCATAATCACAAAAAAAACATTCCAAATGATTACTAATCTACAACTCGCATCGTAACAATAGCCTGATTACTAATCTAGTATATAATTACAATCACTCCCCCCTTGAATCTTTGCACCTGATGAGTTGATGAGTTAATGATGACGTCACCCTGCTGCTGCTCTATATAAGAACGGGAGACAGCAGAGCCTCACCATTCTGGCGAATTGCCCGATGATGCTGGTTGCAATAACCAGCGAAACGTCGTACTCAAATTGTAAATGTTGTGGCTTCAACACACCGGTGGGCTAAAGCAGTGAACTATTTGTCTTTGTCAACGTGACACATTTTTACTGATTGGCCGTGTCGGGTGGTGGAGGGTTACGACACATTTATAAATAAACGCGATCTAAACCCAAAAACGTTGATTATGAATAACATTGGTCGCGAAAGCCTACGTGTTAAACCAATAATAATGATGATGATGAGACTGAGACTGGAGTTGCTGCTACTTTTTGAGACGCCTGTTGCTGATTAGGCTGCGACTGGTCAATGATGATCATGATGACGACGATGTCTTTCCTCGGCGAACCTTCCAGACTCTAGACTACGAGGAGACAAAACGCTACGAGCTGTCGATCACGGTGCAGAACGAGACGCCGCTGGTCGGCGTGACGCCGATTACCCAGATCTGCAGGGTGATCATCACGGTGGTGGACCAGGCCGAGCCGCCCGTCTTCATGCCAGTGCAGACGGTGGTCACGCGGAAGTACGGCGTGGCCAAGGGCAGCAGCGTGGCCACCGTGTTGGCCCGGGACCCAGATAACGAGCACAACACCAACATCAGGCACGTGGGGGCTTTGCACGATGATGGATTTGGCCCAAAAAAAATTCAGCATCTAATGCGACGTAGGCTTTCGCGACCATCCTTATGTTTGGTTGCAATTAATAATAATGTAATTGATTGAAACTATGATTGTTAAATTTTGTGGAGGGGAAGGGAGGCGGCGGACGGGAAGGAAGAGGGGAGGGGGGATATGCCACACCGCCACCCCAGCGGTGCAAAAAGGAATATTTTAAGGAACTGAAATTACCTGAAGCGACTATTGTCTCATGGCGTGCATGTTGAGTGCCGTCATCACACATGCGTTAGTTTAGGCATGACTTGTTGAACCAGGTGAGAATTCAGGAGACCACGACTTGAGTGTCATTTGGAATAGTAAGTAACCAGGGTCACCAAAGTGACATATGTTAAACAATAACAATAAAGTAAATTCTTGATTTGAAGCTTTCGTGACTGCAGGAATCCATACTCTTTGGTTCTTTAGGTAAAGTAACGGAGGTAGAAAATAAAAAAATAAAAATATATATCACTACGTTTTGATCGCAATACAAGCGGTCGTCCTCGGGTGGGAAAAATAATCCAGCAGTGGAACTGCTGAACCAGCGAGAAAATTGTTACAACAAGAGGTTATATATATTGTTGTAACAGCTCTCTCGCTTCAAATCTTGTATGCAGACATCGCCCTCTGCTGGACAAGTGAGCACGGCGCATAGCCAGTGTAGAGGGAGGGTTTTACTGGTAGGAACGAAGTGGACCAGCCGACAATAGATTATTTCGTCCGTCCGTCCGATGTCCGATTACGTGTAGCAACATCGCCCCCTACTGAAAACACTTGGCATGCCCCTACAAAAACCTTTAGACTCTGTGAGGCTTTCCTGGCTAAACAAGTGTAACATTCCCTTATAATTCCCTCAGATAGCTTTTAATTAAAACATTTAAATTAATGAGGCTTTCCTGGCGAAACACGTGTAACATTCCCTTATAATTCCATGAGATAGCGTTTAATTAAAACTTTTAAATTAAATAAAAAACTCACAGCGCCCTAAAGCCTACAGCTAGGCCTAAAGCCTAGAACGAGGCCTCAAAGTCTCCCTTCGTATCGTACCCCTGCGTGTGTGCAAGGGAGTTAATGTTTAACAACGTTACATTCCCTGATGCTTTTAAATAGAAACATTTACATTTAAAGCTTTTACATTATTAATTAAAACATTTAAATTAAAAATTAACTCACAGCGCCCTAAAGCCTACAGCTAGGCCTAAAGCCTAGAACTAGGCCTCAAAATCTCCCTTCAGATCGTCCGATTAGGTGTAGCAACATCGCCCCCTACTGCAAACACTTGGCAGGACCTTACAAAAAAGAGAGCCATGAAGTTCGCTATCCCAATAATTTTTTGCGGGAACCCACTGACCACTCAAGCAACTGCTACTTCTGCATGGTGGACCCTTACAAACGTTGGACTGGCAAGAATGCACCTGCTATTATGCATCCGGACCTTCATCCAATGCACCGATGCCACACTGCCATGAGCTCTCCGTACCCACTCCTCCGGAGAGAGAGCAGCCATCTTTAGAAGAGAGCAGCAAGTCAGAGAGCGAGGAAGACGTTGTAGATCCAGATGACAATTTCAGAGGTGGAGCTGAGGAGAGAAACCCATACTACCCCAACCAAAAAAACTTCAACGACTTGATAAGAGGTCTTGGTCTCACCAAGTCAAATGCCGAGCTTTTGACATCTAGGCTCAAGCAGTAGAACTTGTTGGATGAAAATGTGGGGAATATTCACCAACCTTCTTGCAGCTTCTTCACTGGTCAACATGAGCTCTGCTTCAGCCACAATGTGACCAGTCTGTTTGAGGCAATCGGAATCGCCTGTAACCAGAATGAGCGGCACCTCTTCATTGACAGCTCATCCAGCAGCCTCAAAGCCGTGCTGCTCCATAATGGTAACAAGTACCTGTCTCTTCCCCTGGCTCACTCGGTGCACCTCAAAGAGGATTACAACAGCATCAAGACCTTGCTGGACGCCTTGAAGTATAATGAGTACGGCTGGGAAGTCATCGGAAACTTCAAAATGGTGGCATTCCTGATGGGTCTCCAAGGCGGTTTTACCAAGTTTCCCTGCTATCTTTGCCTTTGGGACAGCAGGGACACCAAGGTGCACTGTCACAAGCGGGACTGGCCACAGCGGACCGAGTTCTCTGTGGGGAGGAACACTGTCAAGTGGGAGCCACTGGTGGACGCCCGGAAGGTGCTGATGCCCTACTGCACATCAAATTGGGCCTTATGAAACAATTTGTCAGAGCTATAGATAAGGAGTCGGCAGCCTTCAAGTACCTTCAAGACTTCTTCCCTAAGTTGTCTGAGGAAAAGGTCAAAGCCAGTGTCTTCATCGGGCCACAGATAAAGAAGATCATAGAGTGCAATGAATTCCCCAAGAAGCTCACTAGAAAGGAGAAAGCGGTTTGGAACAGCTTTTTTGTCGGAGTGGTTCGTGGCTTCCTGGGCAATCACAAGGTCGAAAACTATGTGGAACTGGTTGAGACTCTGGTGAAGAACTATGGCAAAATGTGCTGTAGGATGCCCCTCAAAGTCCATATCGTTGATGCTCATCTGGATAAATTCAAGGAAAACATGGGAGTGTACTCGGAGGAGCAAGGCGAGCGCTTCCACCAGGATATACTGGACTTTGAATGCCACTACCAAGGACAGTATAACGAGAACATGATGGGAGACTACATTTGGGGGCTGATTCGTGAAAGTGATTTACAGTATAATCGTAAATCTCGAAAAACTACTCACATCTAAATCTTTTGTAGTAATTTTTGTATGACTTTAGTTTAAATACATGTTTATTTTGATTCATATGTTGTTGTATTCTGACTTTATGCGAACGAAAAGACACAAATTCGCCCATTTTCTCATTGAAAATAGGTACATTTCAAACAAATACTGTCCTGGTCACAAAAACAAAGTTTGTGGGGAATAATTGCCATTTTCTATACTTTTTAGGCATAAGCAATTTCGAAATAACACTTACTACCCAGGAACAAAAATTGTGTTACATCGTGATATATGCACGTTATTGAATTTCTGTAAAGTTATCGGCAAAACTGCTTTAAACAAAAAACTAACGGTTGATCGATGTACAAGCATCGAGCACCCTTTAAGGTGTAATAGATAAGAATTAATACATTGATTGTATTGAGCAACGTTGTAAGAACGTTGGAAAGTGGAGGATGGGACGGAATTCCAAAGTGGCATAGTGTGAGAGAGTAGAAGCAGAAATAAACGTGTTGTGACCCCCAGTGTAGTGGTGCTTGGAACACAGTGTGGATGAGGAGGCACAATCAGTCAGGTAGGCCGAGTCCTGGAAAAATCGACGAGCGGAGTTCACGGAGACACTAAACATGATCCATAGCAGAGGTTTGTTGGGTTAGATCGTGTAAATATAAACGTGTCGTTAAACCCACCACCACTTGACACAGCCAATTGGTTAAGTTTGTCACGTAAACAAAACGGGCCAATTCGTTACTGGTTCAGCACATCGGTGTGCTGGAGAGATAAACCCACAAAATGTACAATTCCAGTACGACGGTGTGCCAGTAATTATAACTAGCATCCAGTGCCAGATTCAGCTAGTGCAGGGCCTGTAGCATATGTTATAAAGGGGCCCTAAATAAAATAAAACACATAAATATGAAAACACAAATTCACAACTTGCATAGTGAAGTAATTGTATTTTTAAATTTGCTATTCAGCCAGATAATACGACAAATTGCTAACCTTAAACACCCAGTCCTTCATAAAAGTTGAAATCAGGATAATACTATAGTAATAGAGCAAGTGCAGAATCACTAAACCGGAATTGATAGCTTGAAATCATTTAGCGCGGGGCCCTTGAAAGTGCGGGCCTCGTAGCATATGCTACTTTTGCTACGAGGGTAATTCGGCACTGCTAGCATCATCAGGCGGATGCCAAAAGTTGTGGAGAAATCCTCCTGCTTCGGTCTTTAATAGAGGGATAAAAATGATGTGATAAATGTGCTGTCGTCACGTGTGAGCCAATCAGGTGGATAATATTGGTCGCGAAAGCCTACGTATTAAATTGACTAACCTTGATGGTAGCCAGGGGTGCAACGACCAATTTCAATGGGGGTATGCAAGATACGACCATGGGCCCTCCTCCTTTCTCCCGACTGTTTATAACCCGTATACAATAATATGTCGGCTACAACTATATATATATTAGTTTAGTTGCACTGTGTATTGGGTTTAGAGGAAGACAATCTCACAGTGACAGCATTAATAAAGCATATTTGAAGGAACAATACTCACAATTAAGTGACCATGCGTCTTGTTTTCATGCCGGCCCATGGGTCTAGAATTTCCTTATTGATACAATAGCCAGATGTGTTAAGCGGGCTTGGTCCATGGCAGTAGACTGCAGGTAATTTTTTAATGAGTACATTTCAAAAAATAATTTCTTAACATTTTTGTACCTGTTTATCTGTTGATTCGGGGCCCCCTTGTGGCCGACTGGGCCCCAATGCATCACATTACGCTGCATATTCCCCATAGTTACGTCACTGACAGTAGCGGTAGTAGGGTGATAAGGTGGTGACTGGCTGCCCGTGAGGGAGCGACTGGAGTGACTCTGTGAGTGCTGGATCGTCAACGTGACCCCTTTCCTATGCTTGTTTGTCTTCGTGACATTCAGGTATGAGATTCTGAGGGACGCGGCCAATGTACTGGTGATCAACTCCATGACGGGAGAGGTTACTTCGAAGGCCCAACTCAGCCGAGACTCGTCCTTTATCTACAACAACACATACACCGCAACAGTCATCGCTATAAAGGATGGTGAGATGGTCTGTGTGTGTGAGGGGAGCAGTGGTGCCGTGGTTAGTACACTGAACTATGAACACACTTACCTGACTTCAATTCATTGGCCATGGTTAGCATCAGTAGAAAGTGACACCTGATTCAGTCCCAGGTCCTCCCCTTGATTAATTCAGCCTTAAATGAGTACCGGGTGTGTGTGGTGTGTACACTGCATTGGGAAAACAAAGGTGGCCCGATGTGGTTCTGGTCACACATCCACCCAGACGTTTGTCATGGTAGCCTTAATAGGTGTTCACTAATGGAACTGTTCCCAACAATCTGTGAGAAACTATATGTAGAATGCGCTATGATACCAATTACCTGAGTGACATTTCAGTACTCTAGTTTCCTCCCACATATGTATAAACACTCATTAAAGGAATAGGCCAAATATCCCAATATAGGACCACAGAGCTTGGGCAATCATTGGCACTGGTTCTGGCAGCTAACCCACTTATCGACGGTTTCCCGCACCTCCGCTTGCAGGCTGTGCATTTCATACATTCTACACTTGTTCAGGTGCAATTTCCAAAGATGACACTTTCATACAAATACATCATCACGATTCTATTATTATTTGTTCCTCCGATGAACAAAGGTTCGCCTTCTCTTACCGGGACGGGCACGGTGATCATCATCGTGGATGGCGCCGACAATGGACGACTCAGCCTGGTCAGCAGCAGCTACTGTGTGGAGAAGGCGTCGCAGCAGGCACAGCTAACCCTCGTAGCTCGGGACGATGGCTCGCCCGGTAACCGCCCGCTCACCTTCTCCCTACCCAGCAGTTACGACAACTCCAGATACAAGTGGACCTTCGATGCGACGAGCGGTACGCTGGCGGCCCAGGCGCGGGTTCACCTTGAGCGACATAAATCACACGTGGCATTACCTACTATAATCACCCACAAATGTCTGTCCGTCCCGCGCGTGACGTCACTCCACATGAGGCCCACCCCCCCGCGTGACGTTGCTTCACATGAGGCCCACCCACCCCCCCTCATTAATATTCATGAGTGGGTGGATTTTTACACGAACGCAGAGGAAGGTCTAGCTGAATTAAATAATTTATTATGTAGAGTCTCTTCAAATATGACGTTTCTTTACAGAAAGTGACGGTAAAAAATAATTATAGGCAGCATAGTGCTACATCAGTGCGTGACGTCACTGCAAAAGAGCCCCCCCCCCCCCTTCATTAATATTCATGCCGGCGTTGAAATTTACACTAACGCACAAGGTTGCGCACTCCACATGCCGCACCCGTCCCCTCATTAATAATAATGAGCAGGTGACGTCACTCCACATTCCGCACCCCTCCACAATAACCATGAGGGGGTGACGTCAGTCCATATGGGGCAACCCCCCCCCCCTCATTAATAATCATGAGCTGAACAATTTTTCTGTTGAATATTTCAGATTTACTGCAATATACACCCGTCCTTAGACGGGCAAAAAAGCTAGTTGATGATATGAGGTGATCCGTTCCATGCACAGACTTTTGAAAGTTACTTTCCTTCATGTTTTTTTTTTCTTGGGATATTGCTGCATGCAGTACAATGCAATGCAAGTGAATGCAGCGATGCATGCAATGCGATGAAAACTAATGTGAGATGGATGTGGCATGCCTAAAATAATTCTTGGAACAGCATTCCGAACTATTCCAGTTAAAACTAAGCGCTGGTCATAAGACCATCAAAATGGTGGTCCTGCAGTAGTGAGGACCACACAGTCTATCATACCTTGGGACATTTGGCATTTGTTGACTCATGACCGCTTCTGTAATCCTTTTTACGAATGCACCTCTTTATTACAGACACATCGGCCTTGATGTCGTTGGAGAAGGACAACCTGGAGTGCGGAACTCAAGAAGTCCCCGTGTCCGTCACGGACAAGCCTGGCCTTAGCAAAACGTCCGTGGTGTCTGTCAAGGTGTGCGACTGCAAGGCGGGTGCTGGCGGAGTGATAGGCATTCACGGGGGAATGGACGATCGAGTGGGTGGAGAGGGTGGAGTGGCTGGGGGTGTTCCTGGCTACGCCCATGGTGGATCTGGAATTGGCCTTTCCGCAGGAGCGCTGGCTGCCATCATCTGCTCACTCCTGCTTTTGCCTCTCCTCGGTGGGTATAACACGATTGCAGTCGTTCTTTGACTTATGACATGCTGGCTGGGTGGAATTGTGGCAGAAATGCTTGTGGAACATTAAAACGGTTGCTAGGTGAAAACAAAAATGCAGTCTGAGTTGACTGCCTATCATCCTATTGGGTTCAATAAAATAGGGAGATTATTTAAGGAAGTTAACTTTGTTTGTACTTAAGAGAGCCTGGCCCGAGGCTTTTGAATGAATTGTAAGGTCGCACTCATTACACACAGAGTACTTGCCACAAATGAATCACAATACTGTTCAGATCGTGTCAAGGAGTATGAACCACAATACCTTGCTGATCTCATCAAGGAGGGTGTGGTTGGCGCATGCCTGTAATCCAGCAACATGTAGGCATGGAATCGTGTTTGTGGGACACCAACCTAGTGCAATGCCTGGAGTGACTGAGCAATGAAATTCCTGTAGGAGGCAAAACATCAAGTCGATTTGTACACTTTGGTTCTTTCGGTAAAGTCACGTAGAAAATAAAATAAAATACTAATAGAATTCGACGTTTCGATTGCAACACAAGCAACCGTCATCAGGTAAGAATGGATGAGAAAAAAAACATCATAGTGGGGCAGAGGACAATGAGAGAGTTGTGTGGAATTCCAGACCACAGTGGCTGGAGGAGAGACAACTGACTATAAAATAGTTCCATTTGTACAGTTTTAGTGATATTATTTGGCATGCGTGAAACATTCTGGTTTCCTCCCACATACATAGATATTGGACACATTCATTTGTAAACCATTCCAAAGGAAAGCCCTCTTGGGAAAAAAAAAACAACTCAGTGAAGCTTATGTTGGTTTCATGGACATTTTTTTTACAATAAATGTAAGTATTTTTGTTTTGCGCACTAATGACCATGGTGTAGCAAGAGGGCACTTATCAATACGCTCAGGTAAAACAAGCAGTAATCTTTCAGAATATTAGACTCTGCTGATGAGCCCGAGAAGGAAGAACAAAAACAGGGAGGGTTTCCTCGTTACAACATATTTTGTATAGCTAGCTTAAGTCTGGAGGGCCCATAGTCTGATAAGACTAAATAGATGCTGTTACAAGTGGAGGTGTAGAACGGAAGGAGATGTATCTTGCTGTCATTTTGGTGATTGATGAAAGATCCATAATAGAGGTTTTTCGGGTAACATCGCATAAATATAAAGGTGTCATTAAACCCACCACCACCCGACACAGCCAATTAGTAAGGTTTGTCACGTAAACAAAACATGTCGTTATAAGTTCAGCACACTGGTGTGTTGGAGAGTATACCCACAACATTTACAATTACTCCCCAACACACGAGTGTGCTGAACTAGGAACAAACTGGTGGCTGCGGGTGGGTTTAACGACACATTTTACATTTAAGCGATCAAAAAAAAAACTCGATTATGGATAATACGTATTAAATTGATGAAAGAGTCTGTCTTGATGTCGGTGTTTACATTTCAGCTGTGGGACTGTTCTGTGCGGCCTCGAAACTGTTTCCGAAGAAAGGAAAAGCCATGATTGTTGGGAACGACACAAAAGGATTGGTCGTTAACTACATGGGAGAGGCAGGAGAGCAAGACCAGGTACTTAGCAAATGCATGACCATTCTCTATCTACTTCTCGATTATGGCTTTCCCAAATTTTCACTACTGTCTCTGTCATTATTAAGCACATTATGGCAGAAGACTGTGAGCGAAGTGGAGTTAAAATCCCTGTCGATGGTTGGCTGACAGTTGACACAGCCTACAATATCTTCAGGGTTTACAGAAATAATCATCACTTTGTGTATGTGTATGTATGTAGAACTTCTTATGCACCATGCGTAGTAACCCGTGCTCATCGAAAGTGTGGATTTTGTGGAGGTGAAGATTTTGTGGAACGTTCTATGGAGGAACACATTTGTTATAGTACCAGACCACGACTCTCTGGTCCTTGTGGATCAAATATTCCCGGCTCCATCGTTCCCTGACACGTTAATATTTCCTCAAATGCCAGATGGATCTGATTTTGTTCTATACAGAGTAGCGCTCACTATAAGAATGTGGCATTTTTCGCCACTAGCTTAGCACAGGATCACCTATGAAGGTGAGTGATGAGCATCAACCAAAGCTGATGGAGACCCATGGACATTGTGTTGTTGGTAGCGCTTAATTTCCAAATGGAAGAGTCCAAAATGTAGTTTAGGAATGATTTCCGCATGCCACATTCGTTTCACCTTATTTTGTCCACAAGCTGTTCATAGAATTATAGGAATACAGGCTACAATTATATGTTGCACACCCGAAATGAAGGACGTTGGGCAGGTGCTCCAAAATCGAGGGCAAACACATTTATTGTGGTTAATCTGTAGAATGCAACAGCATGTGTGTCACACACAGCAATCTTCACCGAGTCGCCATTAACCACGTGACTGGTGTACACGTCCGGTTAATCATTAACCCTACCAGCCACCTCACAGGCCCAACTCAGTCATCACATGCGGGTATACACACATGCATTGATGTACTGCGCAGCACATAAGGACTTATTAAAAGAGTGGTTCATTCCTAATGTGCCACAGATAATTATAGGATAGAATAGGATATTTTTATAGGACCTTGTTGTCTAGTGGTAGTGTCTCACACAGATAATCTTGACTCCAAGCCAGCCTAAAAAAGTATCGAGCGACAAATGAAGCCATGGATTTTGGTGTCGTTAAGGGCAGACGACGAGCCGGTTTGTGTTTCGTTTGAAAGCCACTGCCGTACTTTCGCAGGACATGAGCGCATTCCAGGCGTTCAGTATGAACAAGCAGTACTCGAATGCAGAAAAAACCGTGCTCTCATCCGCCGCCAACCTCGATGAGCAGGAAGATTCTGCACTGCTCAAGATGGAAGCTCAGAGCATCTCCGCGCCCATGAGTAGCGCCAACCTCACGGAAAAAATAGTAACGACCAGCACGTACGTCTTCGCGCAACCACCACTGCATACGGGGCCTTCCGTAAGGGCGAGTGATGCAAAGCAGTTAGAATATACGTCTTGTTACTGGGAAGGGTGCGAGTTCAAATGCTGGTCAAGGGTAAACTCTGCCCTTAATTTATCCCCCCCCTCCCCACCTCTCAAGGTGAATAAAATCAGTACCACTTTAGGGGAACTCAACAATGGTTGTCCTATCAACAAACTTTCTCCTGTCATAGGAATCTAGATTTTATAAACGTAGCTTAGAGATGCAAATGGAGATGAGCTCTCCTCTTTGCTCAATCTGAAGCTCATTTAAACATTGGGGAATGTTCACATTTCCCCATTATCTTTTTGGGGCCAAATGGTGCCGAGGCCTTACGTACACTTATGGCTCTCTGCGTTGGCATGGCTGCAATCAGTGTGTTTGTGTGAAGTTTGTTTTGCCAGTGACAGATAAAAAAGAAAAATACGAATGTGAAGCTAGTCAGTGGCCATTTGCCAAAGGCAATGTGTTTTGGACATATCGTCCAGATCCAAGTCTGGTCCTTGAGATGCTGGATTATTTAACATTATAGTTGTCATCGGGAATAAGACCAGTAGAGCGATAGACTAGTTGTTTCTTAATGTATCAGTCAAATTAATCACTGCTGCACGTTTATATGTGTGCAACAGAATTGGTCTGGTGGCTCAGCGGTAGAAGCGAGCGGCTCAATAGTAATGGTTCAGAATTTAAATCATGGTTGGGGGTTGACTCAGGCAATAATTTCGCCAGGGTCGATAAAATTAAAACCACTTTGCTGGGAAGTCAACAGTGGTTATTCTATGGGCCTCCACCATTAGAGCGTGGAATTTCTTCCACTATCCCAGACCTGTAAATGTGACATGAGTGCTGCCTCAATGATCAGGAAATCCCCTTTGGTTTATGACTCTGACAGCATTCTCATTCCATCACTTATCGCAACTAACTATTTACTACTTAAAGTATTCGTGACTGCAGGAATTCATACTCTTGGGGTCTTTTGGTAAGTCATGTAGACAGAAAAATAATAAGAAAAAAATCACGACGTTTTGATCGCAACACAAACAATCGACCTCAGGTGAAAAAATATTGCAAGAGAGCTGCTGCAGCAGGGTGTTATATAGGCCTGAGATGGGTGCAGCCCAAGGGTAAGTGGACGGGGTTAGAGAAGGAAGATCGAGGGCACCCCAAAGCTGTTGGGCTGGCCATTGTATTGTGAGAGATTAGCATGTCAATGTAGCCATCGCCACAACGAGGATTGTAACTCAGAGAGTCGGAAATAACTGTTAACATCAGCAGGTAGGATAGAAATATCACAGCCAGTTATGACTTAAACTGGTTAAGTTCATGAAGCCATTCAGATTTATAAACACAGATAAAATTTCAACCGAGAAGATGGGTACAAATTGAGTAATCATTGGAAGGACGTTATTAACCAGTTTAAGTCATAACTGGCTGTGATGTTTTCATCCTACCTGCTGATGTTAGCAGTTATTTCCGACTCTCTGAGTTGCATTCCTCAATGTGGCGGTGGTGACATTGACATGCTAATCTCTCCCAATACAATGGCTAGACCAACAACTTTGGGGTGCTCTCCATCTTCCTTCTCTAACCCCGCCCACTTACCCTTGGGCTGCACCCATCTCAGGCCTATATAACACCCTGCTTCAGCAGCTCCCTTGCTATATATTTTTCACCTGAGGACGATTGCTTGTGTTGCAATCGAAACGTCGTGATTTTTTTAAATTTTTCTATCTACGTGACTTTACCGAAAGACCAAAAAAGTATTTACTATTTATATTTTACCTGGTATGGCCCATGTTGAGCTATATAGCTCTTTTTCAGAAGTGATCTGGCCACAAATGATAGCTCAGCGAAGTTTCTCATCATGTGGAAATGTCTAGTAGCAGACAAATACTCTCTAAACTAGTGTTCTTCACTAATTTTTAGGGGGGCGGGAAGGGGGGGGTGAAATTTTGCCGATAAGACATCAGTGTGAGGGCCACCACATATTTGAAACCATTGAGGTTTGACAGCACGGTGACAGGGGGTGTTTCTACATTTGTGTATTATCAGGGGCCGCACTTCAAAGGGGCCGCACTAAAGGCCACCAGGAGCCGCCAGTGGCCCGAAAGGGCCTTGCAATGAAGAATACCCGCTCTAAAACGCACGTTTCCAATTCGTGTTTTCTTGCCACCCACTAGCACCATGAAGAAAACCACGCAGCACTCGTCGTCATCATCGGCGCAGCGGCAGCAGCAGCAGCAGCAGAATGGCGTGGGTGGCATCGTGCAGGCCGGGCTGGGCCATGCTGCCCACGCTGGGGATGTGGCAAATGCTCTGGCGGCGAGGGAGCATGTGGCCACCGCCAACGGCTCCGCGGCCGTCGCGAGCAGCAGCAACGTCAGCAGCATTAGGGGCACGCTCAGACCCACGTCCCCTTCCGCTCGAGCCGTGAGCCCCACTGTGAGGCTCGGCCATGCGGGTGGATGGGCGGCCGGGCACAGCACGGCCACAGCTCAGTTTAGCGACGGGGCACAGCAGCAGTGGCAGCGGGCCGCTGTCTACAGGGAGGATGCTCCAGTGGCCAGCGAGACCTTGCGTTTCAAGAGTGCCAAGGCCATGGGTGGCTACAAACTGGGTCAAGAAAACATGGACAAGGTTCTTTACAAGGTGCTGGGAATTTATGTGTTCATGAAATGTATACTTAATGTATATTTATTTATTTATAATCACTCACTTACCTCTTTTATATTTTGCACCATCGTTTTTTCTATTGTTTTTTTTGTTATTGTAACTTGCTGACCCGTCCCTACTGGACATCGGTGATAAATAGCCTCAAAGTTCATTGGATTCCTCCAGTGTAAATACATATTTTGATTCTGGATGGGGAGATCATTATGGGCTTATTCCACACTATATTTTCCCGCATGGCGTTTGAAGAGCAAACGGCAAATTATCATAACCGCGTGTTGAACATTTACCAGCAAATTTCTTGATTTGGAGAACACAGTGATTATCGCTCCCACTGTGAAACTACTGCAGACAATGACTGTGAATCATAGTGTAGTGACTGGCTCAGAGACACTAAAAGTAGGAGGCACTCTGTTTATTAACATCCTTAACAGTTCACACTTAGTAACTATAGCTCCCAGTCAGGACAGCTGGCATACTGCCTGACTGACAACGCCGAGATGGTGAAGACGGAGACGGCGATAAAGACTCCAGCAGCACGACGGGATCCCACTCCACACAACAGCCCCAGGCTCTCGCTCAGGGCCTCCTTTTATGCTCCTAGCGTCGCCTCACTCTGCCCCGGCCACGCCCCCTTACTAGCGGGTTCCCGGGCTTCCCCCACGTGCCCCTTCAGTAACCTTTCCCCGACATCCCTCTCTCTGGTCTATCACGTGGCCTGTTCTCAGTCAAGGCTGCTGTAACTGCAGATCCACTTCCCTGCCAGCAACAAGTGCTAAGCTGCTAAGTGACCGATTCTATGTTACCACGAAAGCTTTAAGTCACGATACAATAGCATCCTCTTAAAAGTCTTGCACTATAAGAATGGCACGAATACTACTAATGATGATAGAATCACAATTATTCAGTGTGGCCATGTGATGACTTTTGAAGCCTGGGTTCCAAGTGCTTAAGTCACAAATTCCCAAATTGGCTAAATCAATGCAGGGAACGTTATTTCCCCAGTATAACTGAGGTAGCGGTTATGCTGGTTATACTGGGTAACACATATAACTGTGGACGCATTGGGAGTGAATTCTGACTTAACCTGCAATGTCCGACTGCCTGTCTTTGCCTTCATGTGTCTGTGTGTGCCTGCGCATGTGTCTGTCTTTGTTCCAGGTGAAGTTGTTGGTGGATGCTGACCCAGCCATGATGCCGCTGGACACACGCTTGATCTACAGCTATGAAGGGAGGTGCACACCTCCTGATTCATTCTCCTGCCTCACTGACCTTAACTTGCAATAGATAGACAAGTCAACACCCCATCAATCCAACCATCCAATTCGTTAATCTATCCCATCCAGTTATTAACTTGTTAATGCATCCATTCACCATGCATCCATTTATCTAGAAGTTATTTCATCCATCTGTCTGTTTCACCATCCGTTTATCGTTGTTTTCATCCGTTCATCTATTTTTATATCCGTTTGTATATCAATCTTGTTTGTATATCCATATCTCTTTTTGTCCATCTCACACCTCCGATTAGCACGGTTGGCTCTGTACGGTGTAAACGAAGTTCAACATGCATACATATACATCTATCCATGTATCTATTTGAGCCACCCATCCATGTATTCTTCCATCAATCAATTTGTTCATTCATCCACCAATTTATCCATCCACACACCCATGTATATGTCCATCCATTCACCTTGAATGCAAAAATCGGCTTCTGGCAGACAGTTTTTGTATCTTTCACAAATAAAAATTGTGCTATTGATATTAAGTCACATGTATATTTACACTTGGCCTATCTTATCCAGCATTCGCCAGCACTTGTTCATGCATTGTTAAGGATACTGTGACGTCAACGAGCATTCACCGTAGTGTCTCTTAAACTGTTAGCCCTCAAAGTTAAGCTCGGTTGAATTGAGTTAAATGTGTAGTATAAATGTTAGACATTTTTGTGTAGTCGTTGGTGACCAGGTTCAGACCATGAGTTCAATACTGGAGAACTTGCTTTACTCATGATGACTCTGTCGTGTGAGACAGCCATTATGATTCTTACTTGCTCTTGCTTTGTGTTGTGACACGGTCATTTTGAATCTCGCACCCTCTAACTCTCTCTTAAGCCCCCTTTTAATACCAAACTGCTCCGACCATGTTCAAATTGAAAACCCTTACATAAACATTGGTGCATTACTTTACGTAATAATATGGATGGGATGTCAAATATTTCACCACGTGTTAATTAGGGTCTCTTGTGCACAACCGCTGAACTGTACACCTTAATTTAGCTGTAAAAGATATGTGGTGGTTCACCATGTGACTGTATGCTGTAAAAGCCATGAAAATATGAGGCTGTTAAAATATATTTCAAAACCATTTTTTAAATGCAGTTGCTAGTGCAGTAGTTCCCAAACTGCAGTACGCAAGGCAGTAGGAATTAAGTGGTCCATGGGACTGTTGCAAATTCTACAATTTAGAGTATTACCTTTTTTAAAGATATATTTGGTGCATAGTGTTACGCAAAATGCTATGATAGTTGACAGTGAGTTCAGAAAGTTTGGGAACCACGTCGCTCGTGTATGGTTTGACATTATATAATTCGGCACAGATACCTGTAAATCTGTATGTTTACTTATTTCTTTAAGAAAGGTTGCTTATGTTCGCCGAGGGCCAATGCAATTAGTTTAATATAGCTGTGCTGTAGTAGTAGTTTTTTTTTACTTATTTTTGTGTTTGTTTGGGCACGGACAATGGGGTGGGTTGCGGTGAGGCGACACTGCTTTCTATATAAAGTGCATTGTTTGAGTGAATGTCAAGGACATTGGGTCATGTTAAAGTGATGCGCTCACATACACATCAAACCCAAATTTATCACACCATCAATATCCCACATGGCAAAAAAAAACGATGACCATATTTTTGCGGTCTAGTTTTGCTTACATTGTCCTACTGCATAGGCACAGAGCAAATATTTTGATCAATGTGTTGTTATCCTTAATCAATATGCCTGAGACGCAGTTATGTTTGTTGTAATATGTGGATTATCATGACATTACTTTCATGCAACGCAAACATTGCATTCAGTGGCATGTCTTTATTAACCTCGCGTAAGGCAATGGTGTTCTATTGTGAACGTTTTTGATCGGAGTCTAGCGATGCGATGATTAAGAATATTTCCCTGGATTTTAAGATACTTGGGATATTAAGAGACACCCAAAACATGTGCCCGGTGTCAATAAAGTATACAAATCTGGTCTTGCGAGCACGCGCACACACCAGATAGTAAGAAGCACTCCCGACTATTGCTTTAAACTACATGGGGGGAGGGAAAAGTCGTCTTATAATCCAGAGTCTACGGGAATATCCATCCACAAGCTAAATTATTTGCGCATCAATGCACACCTGTACGAAGCTATGTTTTTGTTGCTGTATGTAATGACATAATTTCAACCGTGGTGATGGTTACAAACTGAGTAATCATTGGAAAGATGTGATTAACCATACAAAAAAGATTTAACTACACTTAGTTGGCCAATCTTATTTGACAGACTATTACAGGTTTACCATGTTTAGTGGTTGTCTCCTTGTCACAGGTTGAGTCACAAACCGTACCTCTCCATAACAAAGGCTCAGCCTTTGTTATGCAGTCTATTCTTAGTCTTAAGTCTCACCTTACCATATTAATAAAAGTGTGCTTTACTTGGCCCTTCCCCCCCCCCCTCTCCAACCATTATATAAACGGAGTGGTAGCTCCTGCAATCTCTCATTTACTTGATACAGCTGTCGTGGCTATGACGGTTCCACCTGAAGACGGAAGCTTGTGTTGCCTCCGAAACGTCGTGATTTTTATTTTTATTTTATTTTACTTCTTTAATTTTAATGTTTTATCTACGTGACTTTACCGAAAAAACCTAAGAATAGGGTTCACAATGACCACTGTGGTCACTAGAGGCCGCTACCATCACCACAGTGTTCAAAACAGCGATGATTATAGAGGGGAATCGCAACAATTACCCGAGTCACTGAGTGACTGAATCGTAATGCCTCTATTGCTCTTCCATGCCAATCACAACACCGTTTTTTTTCCCCCGCAGGAAAATGTTAGCTGTGTTGAACATTCCACAAGTTAAGTGAATGTTATATATTGCACAATGTCTAATTATACTCTCTGACATTATAAGCGTTGTTTTGCCCTCGATAGTAAGAATTGTATTAGCTCCATAGCGAGAAGCTGAATTACTCATTTGTAACTGTGGAAGTTATATTGTGATGAGTAAATAATACATATCCACAAAAGTGTCGTTTTATATTAAGCGAGCTTCCAAAAAACCTCATTGTAATTGGCTATGCATTTTCGACCTCGTTTTGACAAAACATGTTAGGAATAAATCATATTTAGTGTTGTTTTAAGCCTTTGGTAAAAACAAATTTGGATAGAATGTGAGATTAAATTATATGAATTTGCACATGCATTATTATGTTACAGTCTGTTTTAATAACTTGTTCTCCACACATTCCAAATCTTGGGTTATGGCCTCAATTGCCATAAACCATGACATAAATAATTCACAATGATTCGACGGCAGTGTCATTGTGTAGAGTAGTATGTTAAAACTCTAATGCATTTACACAATTATACACATTATAAGACAATGTATCCCCCCCATACCAAGAGTTTGAGCAGTATCTCTTTTGGTGGTTGTGAGACCCATCTATATATAATAAACCACGAAAGACTTTCACACAACGCGATATTCAAGTTGTCAGTCCTAGAGGTATGGGTTTATCATAATTCTACCAATGATAAGATTATGCTAGTGACACTAACCAGGTTAGGCTGGAGTTACACTGCAGTGACACGAGACACCACTGTAACTATACACACATCACAACGTTTAGCCAGATCTAGAGTACAGGTTCTGCCACAGCTGATCTAAGAGTTCTAGGTCTCATCAACGTATGCTTATGATATATCTGAACAATCGTGGCAAAGTTAAACAATTGGCACAAACGTTTCCATTCCTTTCTTTGTTAGTTGGTGTTGCTACTAGTATATTTTGTGATTCATAATTAGTTTATTTTGGGCTAGATCGTGTAGTTATAATAGCATTTGTTTTTACTCTAACCCTCCACCAGCCGTCAATGCCAATCGAATCAAGTTGTCACGTGGGCATGTTTGAACCAGTTTTAACAATCGGTGTTGATTGCAGCAAGCAACAGTAATGTTTCACCCGGTCCACCAGCATGGGTGTCCTGATGACGTCATGGCATCTACTTAAGGACCCGGATCGGGAATCTCTATCACACAAGAGGCTCAGCTTCTGTCAACACATGGTGATGATGATGATGTTGCTGCGTGTAATAATAACATTTGCAACATTTTGCTTTGGCTTTTCAACATTCCTCCGTTTTTTATGATAAACTAAATCAACTGGCATATTTTCCCATGACGTTCACAACTTGGTTTGATTGACTCTGTCAAGGGGTGGAGGATTATTGCGTAAACTAAAATCTACACGTGGACCTGACCCAAAATTAACTTAATTATGAATCGTGAATATTGTTTCACGAAAGCATGTTTAAGCAAACTGCACCTTGTTTAAATTCGCTAAGGTGTATTGACCGAGCTTTCTGTTTTGTATCAAGTTGGCACTTGTTGTAGATATCGCACCTTTTCGACGTGACCCCTTTTTTAAACGTGTTTTTTTTTGCACATTTCTATTTCTTTCTCTCGGATGTTTATGGGCAACGGAAATCGCAAAACAGCGTGGGACCCATTAAAATGTTGCATGCGGTTTTTATTATATGCAGTGTTGGACAAATGGAGCCATTTTAAGCTGAATGAAAAATACAGAGGTTTGCTTTTACAGCTCAAAGGCTATCAGTTCTTGTTTAAATAACTCACACCTGTTTTATCTTGCTATTCTTTATGAAATATATAACTTTAATGCTGCCATTGAGGCTGCCATTATGTTATGTTTGAAGAAAACTATTGTGATAATACAAAAAAAACTTTTAAAGTTTTGCTTCGAGACTTCGAATGTATGAGAAACAAATATATGCTACAGCATTAGTATACCTCATGAACACGAAGCACCCACCCGTATGTATGTGTGTGTCAATAAACTCTCCTTTTGAATTGCATATACGGTATGTGCGTACATTTGTAAAGCCGTGTATCAGTAAGTGCGCTGAATTACGATCGTAGCGACCCCAGTTTGATTCGGAGCTCCACACCACACCATTGACCTTGAACTCTTTTTGCAAGGACAAGCCGCTCCAGAAAGTAATACGGATCCCAAAGTTGCACCCAGTGTCAAAACAGTTAAACAAAACAAGTCGCAAACTTACGTATGTAAAACTGCTGTCGCACCACACGTAGCCAACCGTGCTGATTGGAGGTGCGGGAGAAGGACCACAAACTAAACACAAAAAGCAGTTCTAAAGAAATGAGTTTTCAATCTAGATTTAAAAGTGCATATCTATGAGATCTACCAGATTATAAGATGCATCCCCAACCTTAACTTTACATACAGGGGGGGGGGGGGGGGGGGGAGTCCATCAATCTGGAGAATATATGATTATGGTTACACAGGAAGTATATTTAAATGTTCTCCAAAAACTACGTAACGTACGATTGTACTCAAGAGCATATACTTTATAGACACATTGTAACGCTGTAAGATAATCTATTTACCGGCGCTGCAAAGGTTTCAACGTACACCCTCAACTACATTACTCACTCCGGGGTAGCATTTTGCTGAGCAGGGAAAATTCCTCGAGGTCGAAAAAACGACCAGAGGGCCTGACGCTCGTACTTGACCAACTCAGCGTTTGTCCTTCGGAAGCGCGGGGTAGGTGAACACACAACGCTGCATCCCAGCGCACCTTGGCTGCTGTTGGGGTCTGGCGTGCCTTTGGGGGATCTCTAGTTAGCATTACATCACTCCATTATTATGGAATCCTGGGCTGGCCCACGCTTGTTGAATGACAAAGAATCACGTCTGTAGTAAAGTGATTACCTCAATTGTTTTGGAATAACTTCAGAATGTTATTAATTAAGGGCCGTATAGCGCAATACACTGATTGATAGGCATGTGAATAAAGGAGAAAGATATAAATTTTATGAAAATATATGGCTTTTTCTTTCAATCGAGAATGGTATTGAAGTGATTTTTGAACGAAGTAAATTGTACAGATGGGTTTATTAATAAAGATGATTTACATTTATGTTATTGAACTCCAAATAATGTTTTTTTGTTAAGTTTCGCATTTCTATGGCTAGGGCCAGTCCATAGAACAACCACTGACTACTCCATGAAGTGGTACTCATTTTATTGACCCCAGAGGAATGATGGACTGAGTCAATCTTAGCCAAGAATTGAATTCGCAACCTGCCAATTGTGAATTGCTTGCCCTACTGCCGAGCCACCTGGCTGGATTGTAATACACGGTAAATATGAGTCATTTCAATGAGCTTTTCTTTTCCGAATGTCTAAAATCACCTCTTGATGCTCCGTTGAAAAATGTTCACCGCATGTCAGTCATATGATATGTTCATAACATCCATACCCCTGAGATGGGCTAGGCTGAATCGACTGAAAAATGAAACGTTTACATCTTGTGCACGCATTGGCGACCAAGATGAGACGGTGACATCGCTGCACATGCGAATGCGGTATCATCACAGGGCGGGTGGCTCAGTAAGTGCATCTGGACAGGAATTTCCACTGGGAATTGTCGTTGCTCGCCATCTGCCACTGCTATTGACCCCATTTCATAATTTTCAATATCAAGCAATTGTGTCCTGTATCCTCATCAGCCCAATTCACAAAGGTGATCATTATTTGCAACTACATGCAAAAAAATGGAATATATTTTTCACTACTTTCAATTAGTTATTGTTGACTACGTACCGTGTGAATGAAGTTCAACATACACACATACATTTATGATTATTATCATCATCACTCACATCTCCTATTTAATGAATCTCAAGACACCCTGCGGTAGGGGACCCCCTGGTGGCAGCTCTCCCTGCGGAGCACGTGGTGAACCCAGCATGGGCCTGCAAGTGGGCATTAGTCTGCCAGGAGGGGACGAAGTTGCTAAGTGGCTTCCCAATTAAGTAATTAGCAAATACCGTCATTAATCACATATGGATCATGACACCAGCACACATGGCCTCCTATTTTTTAAATAACATCATATGGTCATGAAGGTCCACTTCACCACCGTCCCCCACTCATCAGCTTGGTAAATTGTGGTCAAACAACCCCTATGATGGACATGGCATGGTGAGGTCTTCATCCCGCATTAAATTCACGGCAGACTGGAAAATATCATTGTAATTTGTAATAATTTGAAATCAATTGATAACGGGGCACTGCTTGCTGTACCTGGTGTGTCTAATCATGACATGCGAGTGAAGGTGGGAGGCACGTATTGTGCACCACGTGCCTTTCCCCGCGTGTGACTCAACAATACTGACTTAGCAATACGACAGTATAAAAGAGTAGCACATCATGACCGGTTGTCGATTCTCAAAGTCTGCAATGCACGCTACAATAGTGTTGTGCATCGTGTCATGGCTGTCCTGGGTAAGTTTAGTTGAAGTTTGTTTCTTTGGCAACTTTACCGTTAATTTACATCGTGCGGCTTAACTAAATAGCGACTATTGCAATGCAATGTGCATCCAATGTAAATACACATTTAAGAAGGAAAATATTGAACTGTATGTGATGTTCTACATTTATTTGTGAATGGTAATAGCATGTAATACGGAAGTTAATGTATCATTGTGTTTTTATTAGTAATGAATATATCACAATAATATGCTTTTAATCTTGAAAGCGTTAATCATTCAGCTCTACGTATTACAATATTAGTAAGTTTATATTATAATCCTAACATTGACAGGTACAGTACTATATTCTAATACCTGAAATCAATGGCAATATTTCTCCATGTGAGAACTTTCTGTAATATATTTGTTAAAATAAAACCATGAAGTTCGTAATTCATGAAAAGCAGAAAATACTTTTACAAAATGAATGCTCGTATATTTGTACATTTTGGTAATTATATATTACTGGATTTTACATCAAAATTACAAGTTCTCAGGTGAGAAATGCAGTGGCACTTATCTATATTGGTAGCCATGATTCAGTGGTGCAATTCCACATTCTCACGTTTGGAACTTGACTTTCAATCTTAATGACAACTATTAACACCTGTCAATTTATGGCTTTCATTATTTTGTCATAGCGACACAAAGCAATATTATGTTGTTGTTATTATAATAAAAATCTTAAGTGTGGCATAATGTCCATTTAGTCACCGAACTTTAATAAAGTGCATTGATTTGTGCATATGGATGTATGCAATTATCCAAGAACACAGCACAGCGGGGTATATTATACTCAGTAGGCCCATATCTATAATAAATAAGTTAAAGTGATTTGCTGCCCAAGTGAGCATCGAGGTACGGTGTTCATCTCCAGTTCATAGCCCTGAGCCACTGGAATTAATTCCACGTTCTTATGGTGGGGGCAAGCATATCGACCCCAGAGGGATGATGAGCCTAGTCAACTACCAACCAGCATTTAAACTCTTAACCTTTCAAATTTGGAGCCGTTCGCTCGACCGCTGAGCCACCTGCCTATTAATGGATATTCATAACATTCCCTGCATGGTTTTTAATGTTGTTTTCTCTCTCTCAGGCATCTCCCTGCACAGCAGCCCAGCTCTCTTCCAGAATTGCTGTGCTCAGCCCACTCCCAAGTGGGTCGGCCCTCATTAACAACAGCTGGCAAGCCGGTACGTGCACCCTGTACAAATCCTCTCAGTGCCTGTCCAATCGCAGTGTTAGCAGTTCTGGTTGTGTACAATAAATCCATTCAACAATGAGTTGAATATTAAAGAGCAAACCAATAGTAATTGCTTACTTTAAAGCAGTGGTTCTTAACCTGGGGTGCGAGACGTGCCAGCTTTTTTTAGACGGTAAATCATCAAAACACAAATTAAGCACGGGCATGAGTACAACTACTTTACTTCATCAAACCCAATTTTTATTAACATTATAAAAACAATGTTACCATTGAGAACCGGTAATGGCAAAGCACCAATGCTGTAAAGGTTCAGCGTTTCCTCAAGAGTCATAACGAGGAACACGTGAATTAGAAAACATACGCAGGTTTCATGACATCATCCAACTTGTTATTAAAAGCGGGCTTGGGCAGGGCACGTCGCGAAATAGGGCGAGGGACGATGGTCCAGAATCATCACGGAGTGGCAGCCAAGGAATGGAGCGCATCCGAGAGCACGGCCACGGAGGAGAGGGGGCAATGGCGAGATAAGTTCACGCGCAAGGTGCCGGATGGATTTCTTGCATCACAGGGTCGTGGCAGGTGTCAGCAGCTTGGCGAGGACTTCATCCAGCAGTGGATTGATTTTGGTGGCCTAATTCATGGGTGTTGTTTCCTGGCGCAGTGCACCCATTGTATATCCATGGTATTTTTCTTACAAAACCACATTATTTCCATGAAGACCAAGCTTCGCCCATCTACAGCTTTTAATCTAATTTAAAAGGTGAAATAAACACAACTGAAAGCATTTAAAAACACAAGAGAATACTGAAACGTACCCTCAATATACGTTGAACCTCTTTCACACCGTACGCATCCAACCGTGCTAATTGGAGGTGCACTCTAATGCTGCAGTAGTTACAGCACTTAAACTGGGACTGCCTGGCGCGTGACATTTTTGCGTAGCTTGGAGACGCAGCTAACCACTGGTTCAAGTTATTATCGTTGGGATGTGGTTTATAAAAAAAGCCATATTTTTTAAGTGTTTTATGGACGCGACCACGGGGAGAGAGACATGCAGACTCCAAATATACAGGCGTCAGGGTCTGGATCGAACCCACGACCTCCTGCATACCCACGACCTAGATTGAAAACTCATTTATTTAGAACTGGTATATCCACGCAGGTCATTGTGAGAACACACTGCAAATGTCAAGTCAACATTGCCACCACACATCGCCATAACTTAATTTTTACGTGCTAAATCTCTCAGCAGTTCAGTGTTCGACACCTGCACACCAAGGTGTATTATTGG